CCAAAGTTAATCGAGGTCCTGATAAGATTGGTACGTTTGTAGGTACGTTTTCGAGACTATGATGGTCGATTGCCATAGCAAATACAACTTTGCTTTACCGACAATCCCATCACAGAATATGATGTGAGAAACTACCCGGCCTCCCTTGAGATGCACATCTGCCCTATGACCCAAGGGAACCAATGGTAGTGTGAGGTGGTGACTAACGTGTCGAGAGTGTGCGCTGTATTGTCATGGTTCGAGTCCCGCTGGGGATGTTGATGAGACGAGTTCAGGCGAGGCCCAAGCTGCAGTCCAGTTCAGCCTTGATGAGAATAGCTTTTGGGAAACAAGGCTGTGCGAAATTCAGTGGCAACCCAAGGCCTACACACATAATTGTGGGAAAATTCAACTACCAGTCGTCTCCTCGTCACCTTAAACGAGATAGAGTGAATACATCTCACAGAAATGGTATATGCCTACACCATCTGAGACTATTTTTTCAGTATAGCGTATAATTTTGACATGTTACCATCCCTCCATAGTAATTATTAATGAGGCCTAACTGCACTTTTCCGCGACAATCGACATTGCTACTTGTGCTAATTGGAGGTAGGGTTTAAAGCAGGCCTCAGAGTCGACTTTCTAAGAGCATATGTGACATTGCCAATTGTAACGACAAAGTACAAGTTGGCCTCATCGACACTGCCACAAGAAATATGTGACGTGGCAGAGGTCTGGCCCATCTTGAAAGCCACATGTGCCCGGTAACTGTGGCGATGTCATGTGATGGTACCATGTAGGGCCCGGCTAGAGGCGCTGATGAAGCTCGTTCGAGGTCGACACTGAAATCCAGTCAGGCCTGCAGAAGGATCGCCTTTTTTGGCGGTGAAGCTGGCTTGGAAACCTGCGGCCTACTCACGGCACTATGGGAATATGCGAGCATCGCAACTGTTTGCGACCCAAACGCAAGTGGACCTCATTCCAAAGTTACGCATTGCCTCGAAGCTTACATCGTATGAGCGAAATTGTGATGGTCTATTCGGTTTTGCAGGCATCCGAGTCGACCTTGTTGGAATGGCCGTGAGTGGAGAACGGAAAATGTGAGAATAGTGTCTGGAATTAAAGGGAATATTGTAAGAAGCGTTAGTGCTCACCCACGTGAAGGTTGCCGACTGCAATGCAAGATCCTTGGGTTGGGCGAAAAGTAAGCCATTCCAAGGGGGAGTCGTGCAGACGAGGAGGCCACGATGCACCAGACTCACAGTTGCACTAAATAGGGCAGATTAGGTACAGAACGAGCGCATCCCGCTTGGTTGCAGTAATGGGCCAGGCTGATTCCGAATGATGCTGTCGGATGATGATGATGACTAAGACGGAGGTTGTGACGCCAACAGAAGACTGGACGCTTGCCCGATGGGAGAGCGTCCACTCCTACGGCCAGCCGATCCCAAGCTCTGTCCGTCCTCCATCGTGCATCAAACGCTCGCTCGCCAGGTGTGGACAATTGATTTTCCCACTATTGGTGCTTTCGTGGATGGCCACGTGTTGTGGAGCCATTGGCACGGTTCTGATTGGCCCATTCGCCAGCCAATCAGCTAACGGCCAGACTCTTTGCCTCAAATTGGACGCAGTAAACGCCTAAATCATGCCACTGTTGATGCCGACGCTGATGCTGATGCTGATTCGGCCGGCATGCCTCGCCGCCCAGTCTCAGGATCGATGGCGTACGACTTTTGAGCACGACGTCGCCTCTTGCGGAGTGTTCGTGACAGGTTTCGCTGTCCAACTCAAGCCGTCGGGGCTTCTGGCCCAGAGGACGCAGATTCGAGGCCAACCAGTTGCCAGTTCTTCACACACGAAAACAGGTGACTCAGAGCCATGGCCAGTCACCATTGGCGCGTTGGAGGAGACTTTTCGGCACCCAGTTGGCACATCTTCTATGATGTTTTTTTGCCCATTTGCTCTAGTTTCCGTTTGATTCGATTCGATTCAATTCGTTTCGGTTCGACTCGGCTAGT